CTCACACACATTTTACACAACTTCCACAAAAAGGTCAGGAAATATCCTTGAATAGTTTTTCTTTCTCAGTTCTTGTTGTAAAATTCACACATTAAGTAATGATTTGTTTAACGTAAAAGAATGAATAGTTAAGGTAGATAACCCAATTAGAAAGGCATTTGTGGCACATGGTAGCAGAGTAAACATTTCCATCTCATTTTTCCCTGATCTGAAAATTTGAAAAATTGATTTGAAAGGTTGCTCTTGTTAAACTTTTCAGAATTATCTAGGTATAGTACAATAATGATTGTTGTTTGTAATTTCTGGAGTGATTTTCAATAGAGAATATTGCATCAACTACCTAAACCACAGCCTCCATAATCAATTATATCACAGAGAATTAAGGATGTTTTATAGTTTGTAAATATTGCTGCTCATTTGAGAAGAATGCAAATTGTCTTCATGAATTTAGAAAACAAATAAATCTTTGTTTAAAAATATACATGATTTCATCTTTTTAATATCTCCTCATTTTCTGCACCCTAAACATGTACTAACTACATGTTCCTGATAAGCCCCATGAGTGTGTGTGTGTGTCATATACATATCTATCTATCTATATATATGACACACACACGCATCTAATTAATGGTATTTACAGCCTTTACCAGTTCACTATGTAATCACTGAAAGGCAACCCTACATTAATAAACACCTGTTTCAGATATGTACCAGAAGCATTTGAACCTTGAAGCGAAATGGAAGAAATCATCCATTGATTCTGTGAAATCCTCACCCCTGTTGAATTATATTTGAGTATCCTCTGCTAGTCAAATTAACATGGTACTAATTGTTAGAAGTAAATTTTCTGTTCATTAAAATACTAGCATAGTGGGTGTGTATTTAATCTAAAAGATTGTTGCTGATTATTAAAAAACAAGGACATATTTAGAAAATTAAAAACTCTTGTAAATTGGTGAAAACATTGTTTAAAATGTATTATATAATAATAAAACAATGATGAAAATGAACTGATATGTTTGCCTCTTTATTCTTTTTAGAATGGTAGGAATTACCATTATCCTCTTTGCTCGGATTTAACTTTCTTTGATCAAGAATTAAGTATTTTCCCTCAGTATAACATCAGCCTGAGGTATCTTCAAAACTTTATTCAGGTGTATCTTCAAGTAATTCATTAGAACGACAATAGATAGAACAGTGCAAAAGACCGAAAGTTGCGCGCTATATTTGAACCAATAAATATAATCGACATATTAGTTCCATTGCCCAACTGTAGTAGCGCTAGAAAATTGACTGTAGCACTACTACAGGTCGGCATTTGAACTATGGATTGAAAAACTAGTAAAAATTCTCCCACAGAAAATACTCTTAGTTCCAATGCCGACCTGTAAGCGCTAGTAACTTGACTGCCAGCGCAACTACAGGTCGGCACTTGAACTACGGATTGAAAAACTAGTTAAAATTCTCCACAAAAAATACTCTTAGTTCTAATGCCGACCTGTAGTAAGCGCTAGTAACTTGACTTGCAGCGCAACTACAGGTCGGCATTGGTACTAACTCCATAACATCATCCCTTGTCATCTCTGAAGGGTTGACATAGTTCAAATGCCGACCTGTAGTTGCGCTGCAGTCAAGTTACTAGCGCTACTACAGGTCGGCATTGGAAACTAACTCCATTACATCATCCCTTATCTCTCTAGGGTTGAAAATAGTTCAAATGCCGACCTGTAGTTGCGCTGCAGTCAAAGTTACTAGCCGCTACTACAGGTCGGCATTGGAACTAAGGTATTTTCTGTGGAGAATTTAACTAGTTTTTCAATCCCGTAGTTCAAGTGCCGACCTGTAGTTGCGCTGCAGTCAAGTTACTAGCGCTACTACAGGTCGGCATTGGAAACTAAGAGTATTTTCTGTGGAGAATTTTACTAGTTTTTCAATCCATAGTTCAAATGCCGACCTGTAGTAGTGCTACAGTCAATTTTTCTAGCGCTACTACAGGTCGGCAATGGAACTAATATGTCGATTATATTTATTGGTTCAAATATAGCGCCAACTTCGGTCTTTTGCACTAGTTCTATCTATTGTCGTTCTAATGAATTACTTGGATACACCTGAATTAAGTTTGTAAATACCTCAGCTGATCCTATACTGAGAAAATACTTAATTCTTGATCAAAGAAATTTAAAACCGGGCAAGAGGATAATGGAATCTACATTCTAAAAAGAATAAAGAGGCAAACATATCAGTTCATTTTCATCATTGTTTTATTATATAATACATTTTAAACAAAGTTTTCACCAATTTACAAGAGTTTTTAATTTTCTATATAAGTCCTTGTTTTTTAATAACCAGCAACAATTTTTTAGATTAAATACACACCCACTATGCTAGTATTTTAACGAACAGAAAATTTACTTCTAATATTTAGTACCATGTTAATTTGACTAGCAGAGGATATTCAAATATTATTCAACAGTGAATCAGTAGATTTCTTCCATGTAGTTCCATGGTTTGAATGGCTCTGGCATGTAATATCTGTAACTGATGGTATATGAAGCATGTAAGAAATGGAATAGGGATTAAACATTTTAATATCAAATAAAATTTAGAATTTTCAACAAACAAAACTTTTATTCAAAACTTGTAATCCATTATATAACTTGCTTAACATAGTAATTCAAAATTAGAGAATGTCTCTAATTGTCTTAGGATGCACAGTTCTAAGTTAATTTCTGAAAAATATTTAACACCTTTGTAGGGCAAAAGTGTTGAAACAGAAAATGATGTCTAATTAATTATGTGTTGTTACTGAATTAATACACAGTGAAGTGTACTAGAATGTTTAATATGCTTAATTCAATGAGCAACAAAGTAAAAATCTGGCTCTAATCTAAGTATATCTGATTTATTTAGGAATATAATTTCACTCATACACTCCAGTCAGGAAATCAGAAGAAATTCTAAAGATTAAGATATTTTGTTTTTATATTATGGTTTATTTGGTTTCCACATTGACAGCAACATTTTCTTGCTTTGAAACTAAATCTAATAAAATTATAAATCTATGTGATATATTAGTCATAACTGTCACCTTTCCCGCCACATGATATACCAGAAGGCTCGGGTTCAAATCCCAGTAGAGACGATCAATTCTTTGAAAAAATTTAATTAATATTTGTCATGTTATCAATGCAAGCTTGCCCACCCCATTTTTTTTGTGATGAATTAACCAGAGCCATCCCAGGAGGGTAATTTATTAAAAACAAGATTGAAAATATAATTTAAAACAAATCTCACCTGCCCTGAAGGGGGGCTGGAGGCTGAAAGAGAATACAAGGTTGAGGTAGATACACAGGGTAATACAAGGAATTTTGTTAAGGGTAATTTTATTATCTATGATGTATTTTTATTGCGTGTTCTGTTAAAAATTACAGCAACTTTATTTCAGTACCTTCATCAGGTAATGTTTTACCATGGAGCAGAAATATGTAAATATTGTTTGGAGTTCAAGTCTTTATGTCAATGAGTACCACCACTTAACCTTTACAGGGATATTGATGTCACCATTCTGAAATACCAGTACTTCAGGGATATACTTTTCAATTAAATTCACAAATAGAGAGATGAGATAACTAAACATTTGTCATGGGCAAACAAAAAAGTTCTGCAAGTGCAACCTGCATTGTTGAATTGCAGTGACTATTGTCTTTTAGTTGTCACAGTGGCAATTAGTTGAGTATGTATCAGTGCATGTCCCAAATCTGCACAGAGGTGCATTTGTTCATTACCTCTAGTTTTCAATATTCACTTAAAATATACGTTACCTATTTCAATACAGGTTTTTCAACATTCTAGGTCACAAACCAGCCACATTGCCTTTTGCTTACCACTAGTAGATCCTGGAATTTGCATACCTATTTTGGAAAGGAAATGGTTTAATTGAGGTTGATAGGGGGCATGGTGATTGGGAACTCTTCTAGAGCATTGGTGATGAGAAAAGTAATGTGAAAATAATGGTGGTATTTTCCTCGGATGAGTAATGCTTATACGAGTAATGAGGTATGATTAGATCATAATGCGTGGGTCGTTAAAAGCATTTTCTATTTTAACTTTGGCTATTGAAAACCATCAATTGTCAGCAGTGGCATTAAGTGCTTTAGGTCTTGATAGTTTTCGCCTGGTTGGGGTCTAAAGGCAAGTTGTATCAGTCTGTTTTTGAGTCTGACCAGTTTTATGTAATCTGTTTGAATGGTTGAGCCCCACCCCTTACAAATACGCCACTCTTAGTTTTGCCTTACGGTCAATCTTTGGATATCTGAATATGAGGGTCAATGCCACAAGTTAATGAGCTACTTTCAACTTTTGTCAAAGGCCTCGGCTTCACAGTAGTTTGTAGTCAATTGTCCAAAGGACATTATGGCCTTATCCATTTCACAAAAGTACTTTTTATTGTAAAGAGCTATTCTGGTTTTCCTATTGGTCCAGATGAAGATGATCATCAGTATTTGTGATGACTGTCATATATTTGATGATTTTTTCATGTCGCTTTTAAATTTGCAGCTCATACAGTGACCAATCTAATTGTTTTGCTGTGATTGGTAACTGTAGAGGGATCACATAAGGACAACACAAACACACCCAAACATTCATGCCCATAGTGGGGTTCAAACCAGTTACCCTTCAGCCTTAGTGACCATGGCTACCCAGGCCAGCAATTGTTACATTGTTGACACTGGTCCCTTCAGTCACTGGATCCAACGTATGCATGTGTAGACTTCAAATTGCAGTTTTAAAGTGTGATCCTGTTGTCATAAAGGGTAAGTCATCTGCATATAAATATTTGGTCACATTGGAAGGTACTAAATGATGAAAACAAAGAAACGGTTGGGACTTACCCTTTGAGGCCAGTAGCGAGGGATGGATTGAAAGTGAAAACACTGAGTTAGTTTCTTACTTGAAAGATTCATTGGAATTTGGGGAACTTGGAAAACATGTGTGACTTTGGCTTCATTTTTAGTAGCAGAGTTTCAAAATTAACATAGGCAAGGGCATTAAAGAATTCAGACAATAACATCGGTATTTGTGGTTTAATCTGTAAGGTCTTTGTAATGTGCAAACGATAGAAGCCAAATTGTGCTGCTTTGAAAACATAGGTCATTAAAGTTGTCCATCAGAGTTAAGAAACATTCTAACAATTTGTTGAGTATCAGAAGTAGACTGAACTTTGGGTACCTATTCACATCTTCAAGGTCTTTTCCAGATTTGAATAATTTTGTTAGTCACCAATTCCTAGGATGGGCTGAAACAAGAATGATATACATGACACAATGATAGTCAGGTTGGTGTATTACTAGGTTCTGGGGAGAGAAGAGATGCAGCTGTGATTCTGCTAAGTTCTGAAGCTTTCTTAGTGTTTAGTTGCTCTGCCTCAACTTGTTTATTATCCGTATTATGGTAACAGCTCCGCAGGGAAGCGGTGGAGCCTGCTATGTCCCATAGAGGAAACAAAAAACCTAGTTTTAAGGTTTTAGTACCTTTCCAGAGTTATGGATAATGGTAATGCATGATGCAGATTGCACATACGTGTTTTTCTTGTAACTTAATCCCTGAAATTCAAATGTTCATCATAAATTTGTTAGGTGCACTAATGGGAGAGGGGTATTCCCTATCCAGCAGTAGCATGCTTTGGGGTCTTGTGTTGATGGTGTAAATTGTTCGAAATCTCATCTTTTCCTAGGGTATTATAGTCTTCAGTGATTTTGATTGAATTGTATAGGAAGTGGAAGATGTGTTTGGAAATTTGGTTGGTAATGTGAAAGCAAACATCTCAGCAATGCTGGGGGTGTATCAAAGTGTTTGGGTAGTACAGCAGTGTTTTGGGGAGATAGTTGGGTCAAAAGTTAGCTATTTGTTTTAGTGTGATACACGTTTACAAAGTAACATTTATACTTGTTAATTTATGTTTTAATTTTTGTTCATTTATTCAGATTATTTATCTTTTTTTTAATCCATTAGTATGAATTGTTCTTTTAATTTTTGTATTTGTAACTTTTTTTTTGCTTAACTGCCACCAAGTGTATGTTCATTTGCAGTGATAATTAACAATGATGATAATAATAATAGTATTAATAGCAACAACAATATTAATATTAATAATGGCTTGGTTGTATTTGTGAGAGTCCCTTCACCCCGTCATAATTTATGATTCAAGGCTTAACAAACTTGTTTAACCTAGGGATACAGCCAAAAAGCTGATCGCCATAATAATACGTGTTAATCTCTCTCCAGGATACAATATGCCTGGGCCTTGGAAGAGAACGTTTAGCATGTTCAGAAACTGTAGATAAGCATTAATAAATTTATTATTATTTTTATCAATTTCTATCATTATTATTATTATTATTTTTATCAATTTCTATCATTATCATTATTATTATTATTATTATTATTATTATTATTATTATTATTATTATTATTATTATTATTAATTATCTGGATGTCCACTATCTACTATCTGGTAAGCATGTTTGTATTTCAGACATCTACTATTAGACAATTGTGCTGATCTTTTCTGTTTGAATAAGTATTGGATGTTGTTGGGAAGGGCTACCTAGGGGTTTTTGGGTTTCTAATTTGGATAGTAGTTTTACAGAGATACAATATGGTAGTTAAACCTATGTCTTTAACACAGGTCACAAGGTTTTTAGTTTTTGCAGTTAAAAGTCAATGTCAAATTGTACGAGTCTGGTGAAGTTCTAGAGTCTGGGTAGGTCTATCTCCTTCATATAAGTTTCTGTTCTATTGTTTTGTTGTTGTTGTTGTGGTTGTGGTTGTTAATTCAGTTTCTGGTATTTAAAGGCCTCACAACATTGAGGGGCCTTTAACCAACCCCAGGACATTGAGACCTATGGATGAGAATTTGAGTAGACTGCAGTGATAACAAGGTAGCCACTCATTTCCGGTAACAAATTTCCCTGACTGTTCCCGGGTTTCTAATGTATTTTTCTATTTTCCCAGATAAGATTTGTAATTTCACACCATTTAAAGAAAATATTAATACTTCCCTGACACTGATTGGTCAGCTCTCTCTCTTTTCACAAAGTACAAATTAACAATATTTCCCTAACAATTAAAAATTGAGCAAGAAAACTGTACTAATGTTTTTAAGAAATAATATTCAGTTTTATAACCCTCTCAAAATTTTCCCTGATAATTTAATGATTCTTCAGCGAATTTCCTGATTTTTCTGTGTCAGGGTCCCGCAAGTCAAGGGATAACACATGGTTGATGAAAAAATTAGTAAAAAATTGAAAAAGAAATTAGAACATGAGAAAATCGTTATCGCAATTTTACAAGTCGTGGTACAGTAGTCTGATATTTCATAAAATTTTTAATGAATATTTTACCATAACTTGTTATTTATAGTAGGTAATAGTCAATACTGAATAAATGGACTGGCTTTAATATTTATTGAGAACGAAATATGTAAACTAATTAATCAACACGACATCATTTACGGCTTTTCAGGCTAAAAAAAAGCTAAAAAAATATTGCTATGAAAATATGGTAAGTAACAAAATGATTGCAATTCATTGTTGACAAAAGGTAACTATATTAAATAATAAACATATTCCAATAGATGTATGTTTCAGATAATGAGAGTTACATTTACTATGTGTATGTATCTATGAAATGAAAAAAGAAAGTATGTAATCGAATGTCGCTAACATTAAGTTAGGTTCTACTAAAATTAACATTTATTATTTCATATATTTAACAAGTGATTTTATTAAACAATAATTAAACATGACAAAAAATTTTAATATTTTAAGTGCACTGTATAAATATTATTATTTGATCACTAAATACTTTTACTTAAACCTATTAAATAAAATATACTTCAAAAAACGTTTTCTAGCTTCAACGTAATTGTTGTTATTATTTGAAATAAAACAACTTATAGAATTTCTTAATTCATTTTTGATATTTTTATTAGGAGGAGGTCTAGGTTTCAGCATGGCCTTAGGCCCAAAATTGCTTAGCTCTATCGCTGAGAGTGTAGGGAGGCAGTTCCTCAGTCACATACGCATATCACTCATTTAGCGGTTAGGGCAAGAGATTATAACAGGATGGGGTCGAGGAAATATTGGGAATGCACCCTATGCAACAAAAATAACTGAGGGATCAGGGATGGTGTCCGACCCAGATGTAACGGCTGCTTGCCTCACACAAAAGGTTTTCCAGCACCCGGACTGGCCAGGAATGACGGTATGCGATAAGAAAGGCGAGTCATGAAGGGTGAGTATAGCACGAATTTCTGAATTTGTTTATACTTCTTAACAGAATGAAGTTTTAATTGAGTTTGAGCCAGTTTCTTCTCTCTCAACTAACTGACAGATAAATATTGAAATATCCTGTCATGGCAGATGCAATAAGATTTTGATTTTTCTGAAAACATTTTGAACTATCTCCATACTAATTGTACTTTTTTTTACAGAGATGATTTTTTTAAATCATAATTTGGCAGTAATTAACCTTCTGTAAAAACATATATTGTTACTTTACAAAATAAATTTGATATTTGTATGCTATGTTATTTCTTAAATAAATAATGTATTAGTCAAACTATTTTTTTAAAATAAATTTAATAAATACTGATATATTTGCAAACTTACATACTGTTACATTCTAATTTAAAATTTAATGCACATATATGTCATGAATTTTTTAACTTTATAACACCCCCAAAGAACCTGAACTTTCTCAAATGCTACATTATGAACTTATTTTGCCATCAGTTAATACATCACATATGAGAAGTGGTGGAAAAATACATTAAGCTTTTCATGACCAGTTGGGTGCAAATAAGTAAATAATTAATAGTGCTACAACAGCACATACTTTCTTGCATTCTTTCTAAATTTGCAATTTCAGAACATTCAGAATTCACTGAAAACGAGGCCTGGGCTATTCTTTTATGCATGACTTGTTTTATCTATGTGAAGAAAATAAAAAGGAAAGAGCAGTTCTTGAGAATGTGTCTTCTGTAAGTTGCATTAATTTCAAGCACAAATTACTTGAAAATTACCTTTTAAAAAAAATTGTACATTTTTGGGAAAATACATTAATTTCAAGCAGAAATAATATGAAAACTACTCATTTTTGCAAATTATATATTTTCAAGAAAATATGTATCTTATAAATTGCATTAATTTCAAGTACAAATTACATGCAAAAATTGTTCATGACTTATTTAAAGAGATGATTTTTTAGAACAGATTTTGTTTAAAGCAAAACTCGCTCATAGTGACAACTCAAAAAACTCAGATGTTGAAATAAATGAGTTTGAAACTACAACTTTGTGTAGAAATGCAACAATCTTTCTTTCATACTTTCGTAATTCATTGGTGGAAAACTGTACTGTAAGATATGCTGCTGGAAGGAAGACTAATCTGCAATTCTGGAGAATGCAATTACATAAAATTTGAATTTGTTGTGTTGCACTACTATTGCAGTCGACAAGCACTTTAAAGAAAACAATTGGAGTGTTTTTTGAAAAAATTAATGGGTTTAAATAAATTAAAAATTGCCTATATTAGCCACAAAATTTAGAGCCATTTTAGAGAAAATTTTGAAAATGTTGCTGAGGCTTCATGTAAAGTATTTCCAAAACTTTAAACATCCATTTCAAATTCAGAGACTCCTGAGCTCATTTAAACTAATTCAGGAATATCAATTTTTGATTTCGGGACCCATGGCTATTTTGGTATTTATCAATATGCAAAGATTTTCAAAATTCTAATTTTAGTCTTGTTGCAGATGACTGTAAATTTTGCCGAGTGATCTCTGACCAAACTGAATTATTTAGACTGCAGGACGATTTGGATAGATTACATTTGAGATGTTCCAATAGCTCATTAAATCTTAATAACAATAAATGTACACTTCTTCATTGCACGAGACTGATAGTAGTTATGTGCTAGATAATAATATTTTGGAAAATGCGACTTGCGAGTAATTAAAGATAATAAATTGACTTTTGATAAGCATGTTAATTTTATTATTAATAGCTCATTGAAAATGCTTTAATTTATAAAACAAAATACCATAAAATTTAAATGTATTAAAACTATAATATAATTCTTTAGTTAAAACAAAATAGATGTACTGCTCAGTAGTTTAGCCTCCTTATACATTTTTTAATAAAAAAAAAGTTTAACGACATCAAAATATTTTCTTTACTTAGGAAAGCTTTTAAAGTACATTTAACAAACCCAAGATGCTCTCATGATTATTCTGAAATTGCAAATCTACAAATGTGATAAGAATGACCTTATATTTATGTAAAAATTGCTGTCAGGTAGAATAAACTGTTTTGAAACTTACAATAATCCATATAACATAAGATTTAATGCTGATCCGGTGGCCGAGATCGCTAAGGCAGTAGTGCCGTAGCGATCTCGTACCGAAAGATCGCGGGTTCGAGTCCCGCCTCGGGCATGGTTGTATTGTGTTCGTCCTTTCACCCCCTATCATCCATCATCCTCTATCTCTCATTATCACCTTTCTGAATAACACTGAGAATTTTAACTCGAGGATTTATCCTCACCTCAAGGTGATACCTTCGACAGTCGACCATGAACAGTAAAAAGTGAAGTGGAACGACTCAAGTGGTCCAATGTGGCCAATCAATAATAATAATAATAAATAATAAATAATAATAATAATAATAATAAATAATAATAATAATAATAATAATAATAATAATAATAATAATAATAATAATAATAATTAATATGCTTCTGAAGGAATGTAATGGTTGAACTATTATTATGTATTCTTCTGCTATATCACATCTTCCTATAAATCTTAATAAATTTTTGCCTGCAGAAGATCTATCTACACACTTAAACCGCTTTTTATGAACAGCGTTGTTATGAATGTAATTGATAGTATTGATTGATAATATGTGTGTATTTATTATGGATCTATTTATGTCATTAATTACTTTTTCTATTTTACATCTATTTTTTGTTGACTTTTTTTATATTGTGTGTTCAGCAGTAGACTAAGGATTGTAATTATCAAATTTCTAAGTTGTATTTACAGTATTGGGCCTGTGAGGCTGTCGTAAAATTGTATTAAACAAATAAATTTTGGAGAAAATCGGTTTTGGTACAAACTTTGACCACAGATGGGTGGGCAGACACCTTTTTCCGTCTATCAATTTTTTCGGTTTGAAGGATCCACAAAAACGTGAATTCCAACTGCACAACATGTTAAAAAAAGTAGGAATAAGATTTAATCACCTCTTTGTTACCAGGACCCTCCAATACGAGTTTTTTGTAGATTTTTGTAGATTTTTGTAGAACAAGAAAATTTGCTGTTTTACAGTGCATCAGTTCAATTAATTCTCTCTAACAAAGTAGTCAAGAAATTAAAAATGTGTGGTTTGTGGGAATCGACTCGAAATTTAACCAACGTTTTAACACTTTTTTTTACCTTCTCAAATAACCTGTTCCCCACACTTTATTTTACTTTTGAAAGATTCTTTTAGTCTTTCTAGTGGAGTTTTCAAGCCTAAAGAAGCTTTGAAAAATGATGAAAAATTTCATAAAAGCTCTGAAATCTTTAAAGAATAAAGGATTTGTGCTTGTGCATTAATATTATTTACCTATAAAAAATAGAGGTCAAAAAAAGGGAAAAAACCCATTTTTTCCCCTTCGGTTCAAAGCTGGCAAAGTGAAGGAGAAAACTGTATAAATATTAGACAGGGTATTTTTATTATTATGATCAACTTTATCATTCCAGAAAATCCTTTTCCCCTTTGGGGCCATGCTCACCATTTTACCCTGCTATCCCATTTTCTCTGATGGGCTTAGTTGGTCATTGGAAATTGTATGTTGCAGGAAAAATAGTCTAACTTTCCAATTCGGTGGAGGGTATGTTCAAAACTGTTCAATAGGCATTCGAGTTTTTTTGCTGTTTTATTACAAATGCATTGTTGCAATCTGCAGAAATTGAAAATACATTGTTTATTTTGTTTACCAGAGATTTGCAGTCAAGAAGTCTTCTGTAGTCAATGGCCCATATTCTCAGTTGCAGATTGCTGCCAGCTGGTGGGGCTTCAGCTAACCAAGTCAATTTGGCAGGTTCCACCTCCATTATTGTAATCTTCTGGATCTGTAAAAGCAAATCTATTTTCAGCAAGTGTTATTGGTGGAACAGGTATGGGAGGTGTCAAGGATAAGTTATCCCTCCCAGGTCAACCTCCATTCTTCTCTTCTTGTGTCTTGTGTTCAAAATTGCATTAACATAAGTAAGGACAATAGAACCTTCACATATTATTTCTTACCCAAAGGGACAGGCATAAAGTAGAAGTAAGCAATGTTAGTGCTTCAGGCAATTTTTGGATATTCCTATTTTGAAGTTAGTTAGAAAAATAAAATGTTTTTCAAAGATACTTTTCAAAGATGATGAAAATAATAAACAAAGATAAAGAGTTACAAATATAAATTAAATAAATAAATAAAAGGACAGATTCCCATATGGTCTGTAGCTTTTTTAATAAGGCACTACCCCAGTATTTGAATGGAACCGTCCAGAGAAACCATGCAAAAGTTCCCTTAGGAGCAGCCAACCACTAGAATTCTCCTCAAGACAGCAATCGAGTTGACCTAGGTATCAAGTAAAGTGTTGGAAATCCACCACTGTCAGGATCTGAACCCTAGGATCTTCTGGTCAAAGATACTGCAATGGCAATTTGTTCCCATAAGCCATCTCAACTAGTCAGAATTGAGTTTTAACTGAATTCTTTTTTATTATGCAAGTTCCAAAAATAATTCAAAATAAAACTTAAGGTATTTTTTAACCAGTTGGTTTTAAATAATTGTAGCCTAATCCATAGTTCCTTTAAATTTATCCTCTTGTTCAAAATTTTGAGGGCATCTATTTTATTGAAATCTCCGGGAATCTTTCCTAACCCATGACAACCTTGATTTCATTTCTAATGATAACATGTAATAGATAATTTAAGAACAAGAACATAATAAAGTAAGATGATAGTGTGAAACTTCGTAGCCAATAGTTCAGACAGGTTTGGGGAAGATTTATGTGAATTAACATTACAATAAATTAATATAAATAGAGGGTAATATATATTGAAAATGGACATTAAATACAAAAATAATACTTCCATTTGTTGCTAATTTAGAGACTTAACATCACCTTAGCATAAATTCCTTTCTGACTCCCATAGATTTTTTTGTTTGGAATACTGTTTAAAGATTTGTTAGTAACAGGGCTAATTATGTTAGTTTATAATGAATCAACACTCAGATAATTTTTTTGACTTGTAATGTTTGAGAAATCCACCATCTGTTTCAGCGGATAATATGCATAGCAGGAACTAGCATTGTGCCAGTGGAGCAAATGGGCAAACATCTACTGGTCATCAATGAATGCGTCGAGTTGTGAGCACTCAAGGCAGGAAAAGTCGTAGCTTTCAAGAGGCAGAGTTCAGATAATATTCAATGATGACAAGGAACAAAAACAAACAAAATTATGCTTCTCCTGCATACAGTGGAATTGCATGAAGCAAGCAAGGACAAGGTCCACATTACATTTTCGGCAAATAAATTTTGATTTCTTATTCCAAGGGCACAAGTACCTGTTGCTCTATTCTGATTGGTGATTACTCTTCTCAAAATTAACATTTTCACTGTTTTTCAATAACACTTTGCTTGTTGTAAATTTTGCCTATGTTTTTGTTTCTATTAAAAAGTTTCAATAAAAAAATCTAACAACTTTATAAAATAATTTCCTGCATTACGTCAATTTATCAACCATGTACAGTAGAATCCCAATTTAACGTTTTCCCATACTTAACGTTAATTTCTGAGCCCTGAATGTGCCTACAAGTAATTAATACAATTATATTTTTGATTTAACGTCATTAGCTTTGATGCACAACCTGCATTTAACGTTAAATTTTTTTGAGATTTATCTCCATATTTTTCCTCTATGGATTGGAAACTGAACACAAATATGTCTGATGTTATCTGTCATGCAGCAATTGTTGTGTACAAAAACCACTAATCGTTGCAATGACATCTGTATTAAGGTGGTGTTATATTAAGTTTGAGGATCTGAATCAGGTTGTGATGTAGTGGGAGTAACTCTCATCTGTATAAATTTCACACTTGCATGACAATATTGTGATTTAATTACGTATGAGACTGTCTGTAAAATTACAATAGCAAATTTACAGTATTTTGAATACCGTCTCTCCTCTTCTAAATAATTATGTAATGTTTTAACAAGACCCCCTACAATTGACAATAAGTAAAATACATTTTAAAGTAAACAAAAATTTAGTTGTGCTATATGTTAAAATGTATGTAATGAAAGTCAGAAATAGATGGTGATGCAATCTGCATGCAATAGGTTTGGGGACAATTTTTGAAGGAAGCTAAGACTAAAAATTTTCTGATAATACGTGTTCACATGCTCCCACCATAGATTACACGTGAGCCTCGAGTCTACTGCACCCATTTAATTTTTTTAAAAAAAAAGGGGAAAAAAATCTTTGTAGTCTAACAGATTTAATGAAAAAAATTGATGAAAACATATTTTCATTTATTGTAACAATTTGCATATAACAACTTTTTAATTTATTCATGTATTTAGGTATTATTTTAAAGTTTTAGATTTAGTACTTTTACTGTTTCAGCAAATGTTGAAAGATTTTTCACAAAAACATCAGTATTATGTAACACTAAACCCCCTTACCCCTATGTAACATAGCTTAATGCTGGGGTAAAACCCCTCCCTCTCCTTACATAATTTATAATGATTACTATGATAAAAACAAATATTCTTTAAAAATAAAATTTGCTTCTTCAAAGAATACACCAAACCACCATTTAATGTACGAATAATAATGAAAACAAAAAAAGGAATTTTTTCTCAAAACAAACTTTGGGTGGGATCTGTTGTTATTATTCTGAACACCTCCATTATATTACTATTATATTAACTTTATTATATTTGTATATTTTGAAGTAACTTGTGAAATGCAAAATTCATTATTCCTACTGCAAAGAAATAGTTTGTAAATATTTTTTTTTGTTCCCAAAATATTTCTAGTAATTGACACGAGAAAATTTATCATCAAAAATATCTTACATTATAAAAGGAACAATCCAATAAATTGCAGAACATTACAGATAACTCATCAAATATGAGAGAGAACTATAATATCACATTCTCAATAACTCAAGTTATGCACCATTTTTTAGTTTTCTAGACCCTACATTAGTTATTCTTTCATATAAAGATATTGTTCAAAATGAAATCCCTAGCAGTCTTGAAGGTTTCAATACACCTTTTATCTGGTGTATTCTACACAGGTGTTTTCTCAAAATTAATTTGGAACGAGGTTTAATGCCAATTTAACATTTTAAATCTTTTATAGATTCTAAGAACCTTTCTTTAATAAAACAAAATGTAAGTTTCTTACAAAACAGCTTGTTTAATAGATGTATTTTCATTCTTTAAAAAAAGAGAATGGAAAGCATTCTTGTGAGACTCACACCCTAGTTCCTCCTGGCTAGAATTGCTGGAGAATGTTTAATGAAGGTGGCCATTTAAGCAGGTTTCACTGTGCAAAGAAATGAGTAATTTACTTTATTGAAGAACAATGCAAATATAATTAGAAATCTGCAAAAGGTAAAAAACAAACAAAAAAACATTATAAAGATTATTAAAATACTTTTCTAATGAAAAAGATTGCTAATGAAATAAGGAGATTGAATGAATGAATAAAAGAAAATACTACTACTACTACTACTACTACTACTAATAATATAATACTAACACTACTAATACTGATAATAATAAGTGGAAACCAGAGTATTTCACAAATTATTTTTGCCTGCATTTCAGAAATGCTCATGGCTAACAATAATTAATTTCATCCCAACATTCATCAGAAAAAATTAAGGATGAAGTGGGTTTGCATTCTCAAAACATAACATTAATTTATAACTAGTAATGCTACAGAATGGCACAGACTTTCTCCTTCTTGGTAGTTTTCTAATCTCTTAGGACTCACCTAGCTTTTCAGTTTTGCCCCACCATTTATCAGGTGCCATTTATCGCTGCCCAAAGTACATTTTTTCACATTTTCTGAAATTTTCTGTCCTCTATTGGTAGAACTGAAATACAACTAAGAATATTATAGAAGAGTAAACCCATGCCTTATATTAAATTTTTATTGAAAAATTTGGGAGCCAATTTAAGAAAACATTTAAGCATTTTATGAATGCGAAATTTAAAGCTCTTTTTCACAGAAAACTTTTGAGTTTTCAAGAAATTTCATTGGAAATTATTTGATGCACTTCTATTCACCAATGAAATAATGTTTGCAAACTGCTGGTAATGTAAATATGAACGTCTTGAGAATATTTCAAAAAGACACACGTAAAAAACAAAAGAATACATCAACATGCACTATGTCCTGTTATTTAGTTCATTTGGTGCTATTCATTTAAAAATTCACAGAAGAACAACACAATCTACATTTAATTTACTTTTGAACCCATCTTTTATAGAACAAGCAACATGTAACATTAGTAAGAATAGTTCTATTGCAATGATTTTTCGTGATTCAATATTGATTATGTACTATGAGCAACAGAGGTCACATAGAAGCTGAAGAATGACAGAATGTTACGGGAGGTATTACTTGCACAACTTTTCTTGAACGATGGCTTGAAGAAATGCGGATAGAGTGAGGGTATTAGTTATGAAATCGGCCACAAGAATTTATGAAGCAATGCCAATCTGGAGAATCACTCATGCCCTTGCAACTTTCTCAATAATTTGCATTCCAATTTTCTGAAGAGTTTAAGGTATCCCCTGTGATGGATATTCACAAGCTTCAGTCATTTCTTTAGATTATTTTGATAAAATCTCAGATAAGAAATCAATGTTCTAGTAGTGTAGAAACAGAAAATAGTTTCTGTTTCGCCCTATTCTGTGTGTTTGGAACGTTGTCATCAGTGCTCGCTGCGAACTTTTGCCTCCAACAGTTTATTGTGCCAGACGGGGTAGCAAGATCATCATTCAAGAAAGGTTGCACAAGTAATACAATCGTCTTGCAAATTAATGGGAGGAGTTACTGATGTATTTATGTATGTAATGGTGACTTCCGGCAAACCTTACCTGTTGTTGCCAAGACACTAGAGCTGATACAATTAAAGCAAGTTTAAAGACATCCCCAATTTGACAGATTATTAAAATAATGACTCAATACAAACATGAGGACTATGTTAATGACTCAGATTTTGCGCAATTTGCATCACTGCTTCTTGCAGTTGGTAGCAGTTCACTTACCATTACCAAAATATATTAGTGGATCATTGGTATGGTCATGTGTTTCACTCTCACTATTGATGACTTAATACAGAAAATATATGAGGATGTGCAAACAATGCTATATAAGGCTCATTCACGGTTTTGTGAAAGTTATTCTGTCACCAAAAAAATAATGTGTTTGAGGAAACTTATCATCAAATCCTACAACCCTTTCAAGCAGAAACGCGAGAATATTGATCAATTGACACTTTTCTGCCTGATGACGAGAGAGCTCATTATCCAGCAGAATTTTTAAACTCTCTTAACCCAACAGGTCTTCAACCACATATATTATATATAAAAACTGGTACACCCATCATATTGCTTTGTAAGCACAAGGCTCCAAACTTTGTAATGGAACATGACTTCAAATAATTCAGTTTACCAACAATATTTTACACACCACAATTCTTACAGGTTCATCATCTGATGAAAATGCTCTTATACTCTTGGATTCCAATGATTTAAAAAACTGCAATTTCCCATTAAACCAAGCTTTGCTAATAAATAAAGTACAAGGACAATCCTTCATGTTTGTTGGTGTCAATCTTAGAGAAAGTGTCTTCTCTCTTAGACATCTCTACTTAGTATTCTTTGTTGTGGGTCAAAAGATAATCAATTCTTGCTTCTTTCAAAAAAATAATGAAACTGCCACCCTGGTGTACCCTGAAACTTTGGTTGAATTTACAAAATGTACTGTTTTAGATAAAACATTCTCCATAATCTCCTTCACAGATTCTGTATATTTGTTGCACTTATAGTTTTTTTCCCATGCCAGTTGTCTTCTCATTCTGTGTGTACTAACCCAATTTTCATATTCAATATGTCACTCTGCTTAAGACATAGCTGACATCATGAAACAGGCGTCGTGGTTGCCGGAGTTTGTGTTGTCTAGGCTATCCGGAACGAGCCGCATCACTGACACAGTGGCTAATGTTTCGGCCAGCGTATTGTGGCCTACTGCAGTATGCTCTGAAGAAGGCCACAATACGCTGGCCAAAACGTTGGCTACCATGTCAGTGATGTGGCTCGTTCTAGATAGCCTAAATAACACAGTTGCTATTCATGTTGCATGATGGAACAGCAGCAGTTTTGATATTCTTGATACATAAAAGAACTGTTGCCTGGTATATTATATGTATACTATATTATGTTATTGCAATACTTATGAGGACTGTTTTTATTAAAATATTTTATTTATTGCAATATTATTTGAAAGTATTTTATTTGTGGTTCTTGAGCAAAGTGTGCGAGAGCTACTTTGTGGAGAACCATACACACTCTGCTTAACACTTGAATAGAAAGAAATGTATGTGTATTGAGAATAAAAGGTAAATTTATTTTAGTGAAAGGAAAACTTGTACCATTACAGTTCCCCACTGTTAGTACAGCACACAGACGAAAAACATCTGCAAACAAAGAAAAGACCTATTTCAAACCAGATGTTAAAGAACACAAGTTTTAACACCCCAATAATACATTTTGTAAACCTCGTATATCTTTAAAAACCATTCATTTATATAATATAATAAAGCTGAAAGCATAAATTTCAAGATTGCGTAAGTGTTCTCAACAACTTCCCCCACTCTATAGTGTAACTGCTATTTGCATTTGTGTTTGTAATTGCAAAAAGAGGTTACAATAGATTCTAGGATTAAGAAAATTAATCCCCTTTAAATTAAGAACCCTTAAAACAGATTCTTTCATTCAGCCTTTTTGTAAAAGTGTGTTACAATTTGTCTCCTCAAAATATGCATTTTCTTGGATTTATGTGCTTTTAAAACAAATGAAATGATATATGTAAAGAAGAATTTCATAGTTTTTGTTGAATTGAAAGGGGAAAGTGCAATTATTAAACTGAAGACCTTTAAAAATATTAACTAATCAAATAAATCTTCATCAATTATTTATTTTACAACTTTTATTAATAATCTGAACAAAGAGGCTTTAACCCCAGAAGTACTGGTATGTCCAATAGACCAGATTTGAACTTTTTAATAAATCCCTTCATGTATCCGTAATAACAATAAATGCTTTTTAACGACATTTCATATCTTTAGAGGCCAATTTAATTCCCAATTATGAATCTTCATGAATTAATAATATTCCAATAGATACTGAAACACTGAGGGTTGTTTGGATTCACTAGACCTGACATTCTTAAGTCTTTATTAAAACAAATGTCTGTAAAAGGAACTGAATTCTTATTACAGGTAAACATAAGACTAAATACTGAAATAAAAAAAACATGTTTAGAAAGAAGTAAATACAACAACGATCGCGTTTCACTAAATAATTTTGTGTTGTTATGACACACAAACTGAATGTTCCCTTAGTTGCTTTTAACAAGTAATTTTAATTTATTGTGTTATTGTATTACTCTAAGACTTTTGAATCAGCATTTCCCAATAAGTCATAATGACACAGGAAAACTAGATTTCATATAAAGAAATTGAAGTAGATTAGAACTCACACGACAGACATAGATTGGAACTCACACGATAGTGCTACTACATGCCATCAGATAATGATGGTGAAGTAGATAAATAAATTCTCAATAATGCTGCATTTGACTGAAGTGAAGAAGGTGAAAAATGAATTAAAATATTCCAAAATGTATCAGCCAACAAATATTATTCAAAAAAATGCAGAGGCATTCAGTCCCAGACCATCAACCAGAGGCTCATTATTCATAACATAGTTCTTGCACAGTGCATAAGTGCTTGGTCCTGCAGCAAAGTGATAAACAAACTCTATAGAATATGACTTAGATGTTTTTTTTGTAGTATATTTTTTTTAGTATGTAAATGAACAAAATCGGAATGTGAACATGTTTTACATGCAAGGTTGGATTCCTGTAACTGTTGAAGAACTGAGAAGATCTCTGAGTGTTGTGATTATCATGTGTGTATATATACATACATTGAAAATTAAAGGTATAAAATTATTACGGAGAATTGAAGACACCGGAAAAGTGTTCAGGCATTCAATAAGTAGGAACAGATTTTACGAGTTCTTAGATTTGATATTACTACGCGACATCTACATAGATATGCTGATTATTTGGAATGAATACAAAATATCTTAATTACGAGGATTATCTGAATAATTTCAAAAAACTAAAATTATCTAATTTAACATGTTTTTACAAGCGCCTACATATTAAAGTGAACTTTTGAAAGTGAAAAATAAACTCCATGACATTTTGGTCAGTAAGTTGAGCGAGACAATGCAACATGTAAACTAAATTTTTGCGATATCTGTTGTATAAAATGTTATGTTGAATAAATGAGAAAAGCATTAGGAATGATTGTAATGTGAAATTATATTTGCTCCATTATATAAATAAACTATAAAGTTCAGTATATCTTTCACACGGGCTCAGTAAGTTTAAAATTAATTCAGAAAATCAAATGTAAATGAACAGAATAGTGGAGATCATACAATTGTACATTTTGATCTATATTAATCATTACACTCAAACCAATCAATATATTTACCAATCAATAAATTGGTTAATAAATGTGTTTTTCTTTCTCTTCTAAATAGCAGAAAATATTAGCAGTATTCAATTTATTTTACTTACGATTCTTATATTTTAAAACAGCCCATAAGTTTTCTGATCAGATTCAACAAGAAATCTTGATTCTTATTATATACTAGCATTCCTTATTGGGTAAACCATATCTTAAAAATATGAATGCTCCTTCTTGACTGCCCCGTTTCATCTAACAACATGTGGATTATTCTGGAAAAAGAAAAAAAAAAAAAGTAAATGACATGCTGGAAAAAAAGGAGGCTCCGTAAAGGAATGAATTTACACGGTTGACCACAAGCAATTTTAAATAATTTCAAATTTATGCTACACCATTCACATTTATCACAATTTTTCATCCAGAAAAAACACTGGTTTCGGGTAACAGACTTCAATTTTATTCTAGGCTTCCACAAAATATTGCTGCTTGATAATTACAAATTTTTCTCCTATAAAAAGAATACATATCTCTCCTTTGCTGTCATTTCCTGTTTATATATGTTGAACAGAGTATAATAATTGAAAGACCTAATGGAGTAATTCACTTTAAAGTGAATTGGAGTATAATATTGAATTGTTCTTGCATTTCTAGCGTGATTTTAATGAAATGTTGCACAATAAATATAAAATCAGAAAACAGCAAACCTGGTTTCATCATGTCAACTACCCCAAGAAATCTAACTACTCACAGTGTCTCTTTTTCAATCCAAATTCATTTCCTTCAGTATTCTGTACAAACAAGAGGATGCTTTGAAAAAAATATGCGTTGTGATTGTCTGAGATGCTCCCTGACATTTTTTTCCTAAATGAACTTTGCCTGTAAAAAAAATTCTAATAAAATATTCTAACCTGCTAACAATACCTCGTATGAAGTACAAATATATACACCCATACATTACGCATTACCTTCATGAGCTTTTTGGTGCATGAATGAACATCCTTCCCCAAATCTACCTGATCTCTAAAAGATGATTGTTTCTCTTTGGGTTCATTACCATTAACCACAGGTTTTCCGTCCTCATTATCTTTCAGTACCGACTTCAGTGTTTAAAGCATACTAAGAAGTGGGTATATTGTAAGTTACTCTGGACACATTTGTAATCTTAATTGATTCAGACGTGACTTCAATATTAGACCCAACAATGTTCAGTTACCACATGCATCTGAGTCTACAGGTATAATTTTTAACGAAGAATTTGATGAAGTTCATGAAAGTAATACTGATAGTGAAATAAGTTTAGTGATGCAAGAATCTCACCCTTAATGCAAAAATTTAAGATTTATTATATTTCATAAACATCTTACCTCAAATAAATAAGATACTTCACATTAAAGTTCGGAGTCCACCTTGGCCACTTTCGTTTTTATATTTTACTTTCAAATACCAAAATACAGTAACGAAATTACGTCTTGCTGTTTGGTTAATAAAAGTCTTTTAACAAAATTTTTATGCGCAACTTTGCCACACCTACCTGGCATAGTATCAATTGCGTGGTTTAAACTTATAAAAAATATAATCCGGTGAATGTATCGCACCAAAATGCAATGAATACTTGCCAACGTACAATTCGCTCGCCTTCGCCTGCATTGCTCGTTGCGAACTCCGCAGCTTCGAATTTAACGAAAAATGAATGCAGGTGGTGCCAACATGAGCTGCAAAAAGTTTCCTGTGGCGAATATGTGTAAACACATGGGGAGTTTGATTCACGGTTGACTCCTACTGAATTCAACTTAGTTGTAATAAAAAGTCACTACACCAATGTCGTTAGTATCACAGGTGATTTTCGTAAATTTGGTCACTCAAGGTCACAGAAAACACGACAAGTTAATTGTTACGGAGAAGCTGGATTGCGTATGTTACATAGGGGGGATTTTCTTTGTTTATTGACTAACTTGAAGAATTCTTTGGCAACCATCTAAAAAAAAACAAAATAAACTGCCTGCAGCATTGTCGAAGGAATAAATAATATTCTAATAGTAATTTACGTAACAAAGGTGAGAAGCAGGTGATTCACGCACGAGCCGAGTTTGTCACATGAGGATATCATTTTACATGAAATGAAAAATAACACCACTTCCGGTTATAAACATTTCATGAGTTGCGGCTTTGACTATTATTACTCCGTAATTATTCACAAATAGACTTGAAGATAGTAATTTGTTGCGTCGTCGTCGACGTAACGTATCTCTTGACGCTTGTTGAGCGTTGAGCGTTTTCAATGGAGAAATCCTCCATTACTATCTTGGTCAAGACACAGTCAGTGCCTTGTCCCCTTCGTCCCTTTAGCTAGGAGTTCGGCGCCGTTAGATCCCGGGGTTCCGGTCCACCAACCAGGAACCCGCGAGACTCGTGTTCAATTTATCTCCGTGACTTCGCGGAGCATAGCAAACGGATTCGGCTAGCGACGCCGGCATAGAAACTTGCCTGTGTAACAACATGGAATTCAAGAAGTACTCATATATTAAAAGATACATTGTCAGTCATGAAAACATTTAATTAAAATAAAGATTTCCATCCTTCGTTAATATTTTTCTTTATTTGAATAATCATAACATAGTTATAATTTTCTTTTCTTTGAAACAATTGCATTGCATAATTTTTTGTATGTATAATAGGATACTATTTTGTGAAACTTACTTGTTTATAACTTGTGTTGTCTTTGTACCATGACTCAGTTTTTGTTTTCGTTATAAGTTTACTTAAACTGCACCCGAGCACAAGCACGACCTACCCTCGGCTAGAGGGTTTTTCCCCAAGCACGTATCACCCACCAGTGGGTCCCACCAGTGGGGCAAGATCTTTGCTTCCGACTGATTTCCCACCATGTGAGATAATTTCTATAATTACTGGTTGCCTTTTTTAAATTTCATATTCATAGTATTTTTTTAAAACTCATTTTGCGAGAGTAGACCACTAGCAGGCTGTCTACGTATTTGACAGTCGTTCGTTGCTGATAAAACAGCGAACTACCTGGCTTCTAAGCTATCCGCTAGTTGCAACATTCAACTTACCTTCAAGGTGCAAATGGGGTTCTTACATTATTCTTAAAAGCAAAAAAGCAGAGAATTTCTTTACGTTATTTATAAACTTGAATCAATATGTGTAGTAATTAACGGTCTATGTAAATAAAACTAAATTTCAATAATTATTAGCGGCCTCTTTTGAATTTCATATTTCAGGGAAAGCACGCATTGCTATCGCCTACCCTAATATTGTATTTTAAAATGTCTCATTTTGTGAAAGTAGATATCTAGCAGGCTCTCCACGTATTTGACTGTCGTGCGTCGTTGGTAAACCAGTGAGCTACCTGGCTGCTATGCTTTACGCTAGTTTCAAATTTCGACTTACATTCAAGGCGCAAAACGGATGATTTGATTATTTTTAAAAACAAAAAAAAAGTCCAGAATTTCGTTACGTTATTTATAAAATTGAATCAATATGTGTAGTAATTAAAAGTATATTTAAATAAAATAAAATTTCTATAATAATTGGCGACGTCTTTTGAATTTCGTATTCCAGGGTAGGCACGCATTGCTGTCGCCTACCCTAATATTGTGTTTAAAAAAATCTCATATTGTGAAAGTATGTATCTAGCAAGCTCTACACGTATTTGACTGTCGTGCGTTGTTGGTAAACCAGCGAGCTAACTGGCTTCTAAGCTTTACGCTAGTTTCAAATTTCGACTTACACCATGAAGGTGCAAATGGAGTGCTTTTATAATTCCTTTAATCTAAAAAGCAGAGAATTTCATTACATTTATTTATAAGTTTGAAACAATATATGTAATAAATAAAAGTATTTATGAATAAAATTTAATTTATTTAATTATTGGCGATTTTTTTTCGATTTCATATTCCAGGGTAGGCACGCCTTGCCGTTGCCCAACCTAATATTCATGACATGAAGTAACATTTCAACCGGTAAGAATTAACACCCTTAAAAAACACTATACTATTGGAAAGCCACTTTGCCTCGTGCAGAATTTTGATGAATTTCCAACAGTATAAGTTTTGTGAACTTCGTTACAATAACATGAAATATAAAAATATGTGAATTGAAAGTGATAGCAGATTTTGCGTTTCTTGTTTCAAAATGAGAAATCACTCTTGTGCGTCACATCATCCCTCGTTATTTTGCGAGGAAGTGACCGAGATCGATATCGAAATGTATTATTTATTTATCGTTGATCTCTTGGTTTACATGATTCAGATTGTGCAGGCTTCGAAATACTCGTAAGATAGGTTGGGAGAGCAATTAGCAGAACCTGCAACGAAACATTGCCAATCTATCGATAGTTTATCAGGCAAGAGAGTTCTCCTGTTATTTGGGGAAAGAATTAACGAGTATTGCCGAGATTGTCACGGTTACCTTTGTTCACAGGAAATCAAACGTTTATTTACAAATTACGTTTCGACTGCATCCAGTGCCTTTGATGACAATAGAAGCTGGTGACGCGCCTGAAGTGGAAATCGCTGGGTTCCCCGAAATTTGACATTGGTATATTTTACGCAAGGGTGCCTAGGAGCTGATCCAGGGTCTTTCAGTGACGCTCCGAACTAACAGGAAACAGTTGACTATCTACGTCAAGGAACTTTGTACCAAAGAAGTGAGTATGTGGTCAACCGGGAAGAAATTCGCGCGGCTTTTTGAGTAGAATAAATGCCGGTTCATTGTCCGTTGAATACAATTGTAACGAAGTTTACAACAATTATACTGTTTGAAATTCACCAAAATTCGGCACGAGACAGATTGGTTTTCCAGTAGTCTAGTGTTTTTAAGCGTGTTAATTATTACTGGTTAAAATGTTACTTTTTGTGATGACACCAGAAGTGAAACCAGGTGAATCAACTGTACCGATAGAAATCCAAAACATTTACATATTCATCTTTTTCTTTCTTTTGTGGCATTTTCTTAAAATCCAAATTCCCAAATAAAATTAAAATTTGATATGTGCGCTTTATTTATTAAAAATTATGTAGTTACATTTTCTCAAAAGCAATACACCGCAAGTCGGTATGATTGGGTTAGAGAACGAACAGTGAAAAGGGAGTGATAGAAAGAAAATGCGACTGATATGAAATCAGATGTTTGAAGAATTTATGATTTTACCGAGACTCTCTTTTCGTGAAGCAGAGACGGGACTGATTAATGGCTTCATATTGTTACATAATTCTGCGAATATCGTAGCTTTACGCGTGTAATTGTTTTGTTGTAAAACATCGTGTAGTGTGCAATCGATAACGTGGTTGACACACTCAACCACTTTTCCACCAGTAGGCTATATTCTTTGCTGCGTTTCTAATGTCTCTTACCAGCAATAATACGGGGTAACCTAATTAAATATTTGATTGGTATGTAATTTTTTACATTTTTTTGCATCAAGATAGTGTATTTAAAAAAGAAAAGTAATATTATCTATTGCTTCTCGATGGTAATCCTCATTGGTCCCAGTGCCTCTCTTGCACCAGTTGCCCTATTGCTCCTAAGCCCCTGCTAATTACGTACTATTATTCTCTTTCAAGTCACGTACGTGCAGTTTACAGAATAACGTAGGTTCGAGCTGGGCAGGATCGAGTTATTTTTTCTTATTTAAACACTATGTCGCGTATTTGTTGTGCTTTCATATTTAATAAATCGACTGTATAAAAACGAATCTAATTGTAATTGGCTTGGTAGTGGGCGTAAAAGATCCGAAAGTCCCGCAAGGGCATTATCACTAGAATGAGTTTCGTTTCAGGTCCATGGACTCACATTAATATCTAGTTAACCATAAAAAGAATTTGTTTAGAATTTAAAATGTGATACCCTAGAGATTTGCAGCTTTTGCTCTTACGGTCCACTAGCTGTAAATATTGCCAGTATTGCCAGTTTCAAAGTTACCATTTTGCAGCACACACGACTTTGTATTCCATATGTTCCATCATTGTATTCGTAATCACGTGTCACTTCTAGGTTAGTAGCTGAAAGCAAAGGCTGCCCACTGTGATCGGCTGTCCAGGAATGGGAAGAACATAAAACCGTACGCTCCTTCCCTCTCCCGCGCTCAGTAATTGACTACTTGCATATTTTTTGTTCATGAGCTATTATTTTGACACAAATTTCTACCAAAATCTTTTGGGAGGCATGATCGGCGAGTGAGATGTCGAAATTCGCATTCATTAGACGAACGTTCGCAAACTTGTGCTGGGGCTGAGGCATTCCGTTTTATTTTGTTATTACTCCAACCAAATATTTGTATTAAAGATATTGATTTATTTGTTAAAATTCACGAAAAATACCGTTCACAAAGTTTATATAAAGAAACATTATTTACTTGAATTATTATTTGAATAAGTTAGTATACAAGTATTTCGAGTTTAATTGAAAGCGCGATAAAACTGAATATCCTTGTGAAATGACAGGTTCTTTTGTATCTGGTGATTTTGGTCTGAACGCTATCCTTCAACGTTCATGACCTAACTTTTACTTTTTCTGTCAAAGAATTCATTTTAAGATTCTCACCTTCTTTTCAACATAATTTGTATCCTTTCTTATAATATTCCTTTTAGCAACGATAAGGGAAGAACTTGTGCGTTGTCGATTAACACTGTCTTATGGGGAACGGCCAAAGCGTTTATGTGCTGTTTCGCATAAGATAAATTCTACGACGCGCGTCAACGCAACGCTCGTGTGCAGGAGCCCCTAATCGACACTTGCGAGGCATTACAGCACTCGTCATAGAGGTACCTAGTGGGGATATTCTCGCTCAGAAATAGAGGTATGATAGTGCGCTAATTTGCGTACCTTCGTGCTACTGTAGTGCATCGTATTACATGATGGTAATCCCGCTGATCTGGTTAAATTAAAGTAAAAAAAGGTTTTACGTACAGATGTCCCAGATAATATGGTTGGCGGAAGAGTCCATTTCGCGAAACGAAGCGGTCTTTGGCGATGCTCGGATGTTTTAGAAAGTGTTCAAATAACCGTCCGTTGGAAGAACATGAGAGGATCGGGACTGATAGTTCATGATGGGCTCAGGGCATCTAATGATGTCAACGCAGTTCCTGTGTCGGAAGGTCCTAGGTTCGAGTCCCGACCGTGACAGGACTTTCGACCCTAGCTTGTCAGCTAGGCCGAGTTCAGTCGCTGTCTGGAGGAGAATTCTAGTAGCTAGAATTCTAGCTCTGATCGGTAGTTTTCCGTGGTTTCTCCAATCAACACCAGGCGAATGCCGGAGCAGTACCCTAACAAACGGACCACGGACCGCACGCGACGTTTCCTGCCTCTTCCCTGTCTTATACTTACCTCTTACACACACTTACACTTACATGTACTTCACTACCATACACGTCGGGGGACCGGTCGGGAGCTTAGAACTTGTCCCGGCTGGGGCGGTGCCCCACTGGTGGGAGAATCGTTGGGTAAAACGTCGCATGCCGAAGGTAGGCCGGCGTCGGATCTCACCATACAGCGGGAGACCACTGCCACATTCCTAGCAAAAACATGCACTACGCTTTCGGGATCAATGGCCCTAGACTTTGGCGTGGCAGGAATCACAATCAATCAATGAACATGAGAGGAGAGGGAAAGAAGAAAAACCGAGAGCGGCGCATAGCAGCTGAAGAGCACTTTATTGGCGATTGGTCACAGCGTACAGGAGCGGCGCTGGCGCTGGCGCTGGCGATGCGGCTGCGGCTGGTGACGGAGGCCTCGCAAGCGGCGCTGGCGGCGGTGAGGCCCGGGGCCGGGGCCGGGGCCTGGGCACGGCACGGGGCGGGCGCGTCGGACGGCGGCGTCCAGCGGAAGAGTGGCGCCTGTGGGCCTCCCACCCGCCCGCCCCCGGCCAGTAATAGTGGGGGTGGTGGTTGATTGGAGGCGCGGGACCTGGAAGCAGGTTGACGTCACAAAATATCCCCTCCACCAACTTCCAAGCCGTGTAAAATAAATTCCTAAGAATAGTTCCTAATGCCCCTTGGTACACAAACAACAATCCAAAACGAATTTAACTTGGAACACGGAGATCAATACATAACATACTTAGACACCAACTTTTATTATAACCTACTGCAAATACCAGCCCTATCACTTTTCAAAATTGCCGAAAACCCCAATTACCAAACACGAATTCGAAACAAATATCCGCACCACATATTCTTGAAATATGCATTGATTTTGATCCATACTGAGAACCCGAAATATTAATTTCTCGCCCTTGTATTGAAATTCCTCGCATGAAAGTTTTATATTAAAGATTAGCAAGAGAGTCAGAAATTACGTTTAAAACTATTACAATGTTATTTTTTCTTTCATCAGTCATTCACACGCGTCTCTGAACCATTGTTGGGCGTTGTGCGCTGTAATGGAGTAATCCACAATTATTATTTTTATCTTGTCTCGTCACCTGGCAATCAGTACCTTTTATCCCTTCGACCAGGGGCTAAGCGTCTTTAATGTCGGGGTTCCTAGACGGTCAGCCAACCAGGAACCCGCGAAATCTCACTTAACGTCCGTGACTTCACAGAGCGTAGAAAAGGAAATTTGGGTAGCGACACCCGCTACTTTCCCAAGTATTTTTATATCAAAATTCTTTTAGGGTCCAGTTGCCGCTTTGCTAAGCATTTTGAGGTTTCTCGATAAGGGCCCCTTCCCACGGCACCACTCCTTTGCTCTTCCGAAAGGCGGGACTGGTATCAAAACATTGGTTTAAATGGAGGTCTTCCCATGAGTGGTAGACACCTGTCATCAGAAGCGCGATCGCGCCACCGCTGGTAGAAGATAGTTTTATATGGTGGTCTTCCCACTGGGCTAATGGGTGGCGCCACAGAGCTGCATATACCTTCGTTCGCTTGAGCGGGAAACGGCGCGACTCACGAAGCCTTCCCTTGTCGCGGTGGGTGGCTGTGCGGGAGGGAAGGGCTCCGCTGCTTCTCTTCGGCGCCACCGAGTGGCCTGGCGGGAAGGCGCTGCCGGGGGCGTTACCTGGCGCGTCAGACGTGGTCTGCGACGATGAGGCGCCAGCGGAGGCCGAGCGCCGTGAGGCCGCGCGCTGCGTCGGCGCGGTGCAGCGCCACGCCCGTGAACGCCAGCAGCACGGCGCCCTCGAGGTAGAGCGCGTAGACGGCGCGCAGGGCCCCGGCCACGCGCCCCACGCCGCCCGTCGCCGTGAAGTCGAGCGGGAAGAGCAGGCAGGCGGCGAAGGGGCGTAGGCAGGCGCGACAGGGGGCGCCTAGCGCCGGCGCCCGAAACGCCAATCCATCTCCGCACCAAGTGAGTAGAGGAACCCTCGTGACCGACCTCACCGCAGCCCACGCGCAAAGCACGCGGGCGCCGGCGCCGCCTCCGCCGGCGCGTTCGCCGCGTCCGCCTCCTCCGCCGCCCACTGCCCCCGCCCCCGCCGCCCCTTGCCCCTCGCCCGCCTCCCAGCGCTGACTGCGCGTCCAGCGCGATGGGCGGGAACTGTCGCCTGAGGACACCGCTGGCGATGCCCGGTACGGTAGCACAAGCAGCAAGAAACATGCGCTGCCCTTGGGCAAGGAAATCGGTCACCTTGCCGGCCTTTAGGTTTGCAAATAAAGGTGGTCTTACACGCAGAGTGACAACAGTTCCTAATTCATGACGTCACGGAGATAAAACTCTCTACGGGCTTTACACGTTTGGAGATATCTCCCAAACCGCGAGTTCTCCTAACACACCGGGAGAGTTGGTTCCTGAGATATCTCCGGAAAAGTATCTCCTGCTGTTTTCATCGACCTCATACAATGTCTCTCATGTTCTTCCGGCCTGCATCTGGTGAATCAAACACGCAGCGAGCAGTTTTGAGTTAGAATTGTAACAACTGTTGCACTGCCTGTCCACATTTCAACAATTTGAAAAGCGAGAAAATGAAGAGACAAAAGTGAGTGATTATTTTTTCGTTGAAAAATAAGAAACTGAATCCAGTATATAAAACTTTTGATGGTTGGAACTGCCAGAACGTAAGATTAAAACCACAAATATATCATTGCTTACCTCGTCAATTGATTACATTATTCATAGGACAATAAAATATAACAATTTTAAATTTAGCGACGATTAAAAATGTTTTTGAAAACGTCGAGTCCAGAATGCAGAAAAGTAGTTTTACCTAAGTAAAGTTTGAAAAAATGGTTAAATGATAAGCTGTTTCAGAAACTTTAGTGAAGAACGTATATACGATTTGAAAGAATCAATTTAATTCTCTGTAAAGTTTGTTATATATAAACTAGAAAGATATCAAATGTTGCAAGGAAATTTTATTCTGGAATTGAAATTGTTAATTATTGTTATGTGTTTGAGGTTGTGACGAAATGCAGAATGAATTAATGCAAATGTCTAGGGCAACAATAAACGAGAAGTCTACTGCAATACAAAGCCGAAAAAATTGACACTTTTTTTCTTTATATTTTAATTAACCAACACTGTTTGAACTCTTCATTAGAAGCCACTTAATTTTTTAATGTTTTATGTTTAAATATCATGCAAAACGAAGTATTATATAAAAATGTCAAAATGATAAAGTGAAGTCCACGATATATTAGACAACAACTCCAAGAAGCACAATTTCAAATAATCCGGCAGGATTAAGGACTTCCAATATGGGTTCCGTGTGTTAGTTTGGCTGGTGGTGTGCCAGGCATGGGGTATGGTGATGAGATCTGAGTGTGTGGTGTATCCAGGGAGTGTAAAAAGAACGGTAAGATGCGATATACACCTCCCTTAGGGGCAGGCATAAGAGTAAAGAAAACTCTAATTAGTTTATATTAACAAATGTTTACAATTTGATCCGTAATTTAAAGTTTTAATTTATTAAAAATTATATAAAATTATAATATATATTATAAAATGAATAATTGATTCATGTATCAATAATTTCGTAAACTTCAAGAAGATTTGATGTTCTTCTTCTTCTTCGACGGCTTTCTACCCTCTTAGAGTTTGCCGTTTCGATTTCCCATTCAATCTTTGTCCGTCCATTACCCTCTTCCAATAACCTTTTCTCCTCCAATAACTTCTTATCATAATTCTTTCCAGGTTAAACAAGTCTACCACCTTTTACGCCTTCTTTCAGTATTCCATATTATTAATTGTTTGCGCCCATCTCTCATTTCGCATCCTCTGGACATGTCCATACCATGAAGAAGCCTTTATTTCTAGTTTCTCTATGGTTGTTTAAAACGCCCAGCTCTTCCCACCACCACTTCTTCCGTATTTTTATCCCAGCATTGTATCTGCAAAGATCTTCTCATAAAGTATGAGCTCTACACCCCGAATATTCGTCTCTACGGCGTTGTTGTTAACGGCCACATTCGTCCTCACAATAGAATATAAACTTCCTCCCACCGATACTGTGAATATGTGTTCGCTTTGTTCTGCCTTAAAACACATTCCAATAAGCCATGCAGAAGCTTAATTGCATCCCTCCCCATTGTGCGATCAAGTATTTGATATCTCAAACAATTTTTCCATCATCATTATACAGTCTCCAAGATATTTAAATTTCGAAAACGTTACTATTCTCGTCATACAGCGACATATTTTAGATCATCTATCCTCCTATGCTATAAAATAAATTCTGTCTTAAAGGTTGAATTTTAATCCCCGATTTCGAACTCTTCTTTTAATTTGCAACATATATCCATATCTTCCCCACTTAATCAGCATAATTACGTCTGATCATCTGGCAAAAAAGCAAAGAATGTAAGCACTTCACATTATAGGAACTCCCATGTGAGAACATTTATTTGGTGTACCAGGTTTCCAAAAAGCTTGTTCCCATTATTAATATTAAAGAGAATGGCGATAAGCTACATCCTTGCTTTAACCCTTTGTTAAATTTTCTAATTGCCTTCGCAGTAATTTTCCTCCCCATTTTAATCACGCTCGATGATTCGGTACATTTTTGTTTAACTAAATTAATCCAATTTTTCTTGCACCTTCAGTCTTTTCATGCTGCCCAATTTTACATCTTGAACACTTCATAGGCCTTTTCCAAGGTCAATAAATTCATATAATGTATCTATATGTTGCATTACCATTTTTCTATTACCTAAGCGTAGCAATGATGTTATTCCAAACATATCTCCCACTCCTAAAACATATTTTTTGATTTTTTATTTATTATTAGAAATATCTCACAGAATCAAAAACCAAGAAAAGTGAAAAGAATTATCGGAAAGAACTTGGTTTGACGTACGGCGTTTTTCCACAGGAGATTACATGCTAAGTATTTCATTGTATTATAATTCCCAGCTATTAGAATTTACCACAAAGAGTACAGAATATCCATGCGATCACTGTGGAACGCCGCACAGACACAGAAGAGCCTCAGACGACTAATCGATCACGGTGAAACGACTTCAGAGAGCCAAAAGTGCTTGTCCAACTCTCTTTGAATACTATATTCAATCCAAGGAGCACTACGAATTCCTCGCCACCATCGATCATTCCCTACACTGCTCTCTTACTGATGACTTCTATAAATCTCTGTGAACTCAGCCTCCCGGAGAAAAGAGGAGTGCTTCTCGCTGAATGTTTACACAGCTCTTCGTAACCAGTCCCTCCGGAAAGTAGGAGAAAACTGTCTCCGTGTAAACGCTAATGGCTTAATAAAAAAAACTTAATTCGTAGTATCTATTCGAATTCACGTATATAAATCTCTCGGCCACACATTCAATGGTGCAAACAAATAAGCGCATAAATTACCCCAAAGAAGATTGGGGCAATAAAATGAGCGAAAAGAAAACCACTAATTTCGTAAGTGGAGTATTAATATCTCAGAAAAAGAAACGGTAATGTAAAGAGTACAAACTCCAGTCGGACCGAAACGAAAATACAAATAATGCCCCAAACTACAACAAAGCGCACAAAACACAATTTTTCCCTCCCTTTCCCTTCCCCC